ATTACACTATCGTGATCTGCACACGAGAGCTAAGTTCAAGCGTCTAAGTTCTTTTGCGTATTTGTGCGAAATCTTGCTACATTCGACTACACAGCAGCGAGTTCTGAAGCATTTGATTTAATCGTGCGATTACGTTATCATTACATTTTTCTCTTCGCACAGCCAGAGGGAATCTTGTGAAAGAGGTGCGAAGTGGATGTTCCGACTTCTGTCTGGTGGGCAGGGCGACGACTAGCTAGTCGAAGGCAAATTTTTGTTCCGTCGCGGAGAGATCTCGACCTGCAAAGAGAGACATTTGCCTATATATACATATACATTGAAGAAAGATTCTAGGTTGCGCGACTTGACTCAAGTTTATTTTGATGGCTAGAAATCATAATTGCTTGAATTAAACGTCCCAAAATCAAGATATGATTATCAAAAAAGCCATAGTGGAAGGCTTTACGAATTTCGACAATGCGAAGTTCCCTATTGTGTACCTATATGTAGGCACAAAGCTGTCAACCTTTTCGCCTGCATCGTCAAATGAGGCCGCTGTGGATGGGATTCGATCCTGTGACCTACCAGCGAGCATTTGAGCTTAATAACGACGAGATCGCCATTTTATTTAAATGGTTCAACATCCATTCTTCTTTTTCACTCTATATCACCTACAACGTTCTATCATCATGCATAGATGCGGAAGATCACTATAAGTGCTTCTTTGACAATGAGCTTTGTTTTCGAATTTCGAAATAATGGTTAGGGGGGCTTGCTGGTTTGCCCACACAGTTATTCCTAACAGCGCAGAAGCGGAACAGGCAAGGAAGCAATTTGATACTACATTGCAGGTTATGCAATTGCACGCCGAATTTCAATCAATTCACCGCCATCGGAAGACATTCAGACCAGCACACGCGTGAGATCATTGAATCATTCACGATTATCAAGCGGGGTCTCTTAAGTCAGTTTAACGTCCATCCAGTTACTTGATGAGGAAATCGCATATCTGCAACAATAACTGCTTCAAAAGTCTATAACCACTACTCAATGTTTTATCGCGTTAATCACGTCTTCCCTCCAATCTTTTTTTAATGCGAAGCATTTCTTAGCGAACTTAAGCGACTTTGAGAGTATCTATCTATCTATCTATCTATCTATCTATCTATCTATCTATCTATCTATCTATCTATCTATCTATCTATCTATCTATCTATCTATCTATCTATCTATCTATCTATCTATCTATCTATCTATCTATCTATCTACCTATCTATCTATCTATCTATCTGTCTGTCTGTCTGTCTGTCTGTCTGTCTGTCTGTCTGTCCTTCTGTCTGTCTGTCTGTCTGTCAATCAATCAATCAATCAATCAATCAATCAATCTATCTATCTAGCCGCCTACAATTAACATTTAGCTCTCCTCACCGTTTCGATAATGGTATCGGTACCAAACTAGGTATAGCATAACATGACTGCATGAAGCACATAACCAACTAGTCATAACACGAAAATGATCACACGTGTGTCATGAATGTCATGATTTACATTTCATGGTCCTTCAGCTCTTGCGGTGGTTTCGTTCACATGGCATGTTGCAAAACTGGTATGCTATGGCTTGATTGAATGGCGAACACAAGCGACAGACCTTAACATGAAAATCATGACATGCGTGTCATGTAACAACATGACAACACGCCACGCTCATGATGCGCTCGCGGCCGTTTCGCTAGTGTACATATACCACATTTGGTATTACAGTACGTGAATGGATTACGAAGGTATGGGACTGGTGCAAACATGATAGTCATGAGATGCGTGTCATGTAACAACATGACTACATTCCACGCTCATGATGTGCTGGCGGACATTGCGCTAGCTTCCCTCATACCAAATTTTCTATTACGGGACGTGAATTGATGAAGATATGATACTGGAGCAAACGTGGTAAACATGAGATGCGTGTCATGTAACATGACTACATGCTACGTTCTTGATGCGCTCGCGGCGGTTTCTCTAGCGTCACATATACCAAATTTGGCACTACAGTACGTGAATGGATAAAGAAGGTATGTGACTTGTGCAAACATAATAATCATGAGATGCGAGACCATGACTACATGCCACGGTCACGGTGTCAATATATCTCAACGTGACGCGTTGCGCGTGCTCCCCGGTGTTCATTTCGTCGCGTCACGTCTGCGTTGCCACGCCAGGCGCCGGTCCTGCCACATACTCACAGGCGCGCGCCGCGCTGCATTGCTTTGACGCATGCGCGTTTCAGCGCATCCAGCGTCCCTCCGTTACGAAAAAAAGGAGACGCAGTGTTGCCAGGGTAAGGCATCGGCGCGAAATGCAGCACGTCGCATTTCGCGGCAGTTGCCGTCGGGCGCGCGGGGCGTCCGGCTATAGAGTGCTAGCGTTTTGCTAACGTAGCGTTGCTGTGCCCAACGTGCGCGCGCGTCAACGCTACATTGGAAAATATTGGCCCCTTCATGATGCGTTCGCGGCCGTTTTTCTAGCTCCACATATAACAAATTTAGTGTTACGTGACGTCGATGGACGACGAAATATATGACTGGTGCAAACATGATAATACTGACACTTGTGTCATGTAAGAACACGACAGCATACTACGCTCATAGCGTGCTCGCGGCCGTTTTGCTAGCTAGCTCCACATATACTAAATATGGTATCACACGACGTGAATAGATGACGAAGCTAAACGACACATCCAAACATGATAATCATGACACAGAAGTCATGCACGGAATGCTTTACCTTCACCTCGTAACGTTGTGCTAATTTTGAAGTGACATATGAACATTTCTCATTCGTGCTTCGCATATCATCGATTCCCACTGTACGTGGGATCTGCAATTTTTGTGTTTGCCTGTATATGTCGCGTTCGCGCAATCTAACCCTGTCGGAAGTCGGCACCTGAGTTGTGTGGGTCTCCTGTGTGTCCCGTTTACGCACTCTTTGGAGTAACTCATTTTGCGAGTGCAACGCTTGCCCTGTAGACTCATAAATTTCCTCGACCTCCATTTAATAACACGGTGTTCCAGAATTCTCCGAGGAAAAAAAGTTTACAGGTACGTCGGAAAAAAGTGGCGATGCTCAGTCGAATATTAGAGCTTATTTCTCATTTACACTTTGTTATTTGTACATACAAGCTTGTTACATTCGCGGTTTGTGCACGTTACTTCCATGAACACCGTCGAAGTTTGTGAATGATCATGACGATTTGGCTAGCGCTGATCATAATGATTCCATTACACTTCTGTGAGCTTCCACGCGGAAATTATTTGAACCTCCGAATATTCAATTCGTTCTGTATCCTGAGTGTGCCACCTTCCCAGAGCTCACTTGCACTAGCTGCCAGTCCTTCTAGGCGAGCGTGACTGAGCCTTACTGTAACTTTCGCCTTTTCCACAGCGAGATGCGCGATGCTTTATTGGTGCAGTGAAGTACACACAACAGCGCCAAAACTTGCTCATCTTGTTCATGACCTTGCACAGAGTAGAGAATGTCGTTTCTCGAGCAGGCAACAGACGGACCGTATATGTGATGAGCGAAAATTCGCGGTTGAGTTTATGGCGGCTGCTCATGCTGCGGTGTTTCCTCTAAAAATCTTTCAAGTGATTCCCCTAGAAGTTACCGCGTCGATTATATTATCGAAATCTGCGTCGCAAAGCGCTACTCAACAAAGTGCGGTACGCGGTGCAATTTGGCGCAATTGAACTTGGTGTTTTATGAACGTCCTGCGCAGTATGAATAGTTCAATTTACCTATTTTCTCTCCACGATCTTCTGGACTTCTAGGCGCTCCAATGCTTGCCCGCAAGTTGCGGGATCGAATCCCAGCCACGGTGGCCGCATTTTCAATGGAGGTGCATATACTAAGGGCGCGCGTGCTCTGATTGAAGTAAACGTCAAAAAACGCCAGGTGGTCCCAATTTCAGCTACCCTCCCCTACGGCGCCTCTCATATAATAGTATCCCGGTTTTGAGAGGTTAACCCTCAACAATTGCTTCGCGAATTTTTTCTCTTTAGTTTCAGTCACCTTGACATGGGCTATTTTAAGGTCTTCGCTAAGCCAGCAAGACTGGAGCATGAATGCGATAACGTGCACGGCAATGTCAGAGCAGCACGTAGATTAAGATACGACACTGAAATAAACAACGAGGTCCACCGTAACGACGTTGTTGCCATCGGAGATAAACATAACACAGTACGAGACATGAGTCAGTATTGCGCTCAGAGACAAAGATACTGGGGGGTGCAACTGCAATTCTTTTAACAACACTTTGAAAAGCCAAACGTATTTGTTGTGGTTGTTTCTCGGGAAGGGCGTCAAACTATACGAACTATCATTACGAAAAAAGGGCCGAAGGAGTTCTCTGCATGTCGACAGAATCGTCCTCGTCAACTTCCATCATGAATTGTTGAGCAACAAACGCAACACACTCTGCTGCTGCTGAAGCAGTGACGGGTCACAAGCATCCGCACTGCGGGACTTCGTTCGCCGATGGGCACCTCTGTTTAATCCCGTGCCTAAAAATAATAGAAAAAACTATAGGAACGTTGGCGTACATTCACTGGAATGAGAAGTGGCAAAAGCATGACGAACGAAAAAGGAAGAGTGGCATTGTACACTTTAAGAAAAAAAAAGTAAGAGTCGTTTGACTCGTTTTTGAAAGTTCCGGTTTGACACGTATATAATATTCTACGTGAATTACCTTTTGGAATTCACTACGTTCTTTTCAGAGCATCTTGTGCCTCACAACAGATCTAATGCGTCTTCCTTAACATAGTAGCATACGCGGCAAATCAGCATGCACCGAAAGGGCTCTGCACACTCTTCTCTTGTTTTCTAGACTGTGAAATGTGCAACATGCAGTATTTATACACCGTATTTCCGTTACTCACTAAAAGACTCATGTACTATTGTTGTCACTACGTTCAACTCACGCGTTTAAGTATCCGAGTATTAAAAGCCGGCTCGATGGTTGGGGCTCGTCACTTCTTTTTGTCGCTCTCAGCCACTGTTGACGCCGCCTTTGCGGCCGCTGCCGCCACCGCCCTTGCCATGGCCGCTGCCCCGGCCTTGGCCCTGGCCTCAGCTGTCTTCTGCTTGGCCTCTTCTTCCTGGGCCTTGGCCAGCTTCTCGGCTTCCTCCTGGGCCACCTCGTCCTCGGCCTGTTCCTCACACTCGCCCTTCTTCACCTTCTCTCGTGCTTCCTTGATGGCGAAGAATTCGTCGTAGTGCACCTTTCTCTTCTTCTCGAACTCCAGTTGGCGTTCTGTGCAGCCATTTCGTGCGCAGCATGAAATTTCAAACACCCGCTGGCACATTGACATGAAATCGACATATGTGCATGTAGGCCTCTTTGGGCACAAAAACAACAGAGACAAAACGCAAGTCTTCGTAGCTCGTTCGTGGACGTTATGGACACACACTCTATATACGATGATTTAAATGACGTCAAGGCAACATAATCACGTGGCGAGTAACCTGTTTTCGTGCAATAGCGACGTCGCCTGGACGTTAATTGGCAGATGTACACGAAAAACTGATAGGGTCTCTTGTGAATTACCTTAAAAAGACTCGAAGGCCAAAGCAATCTTTTTTTTTCCTTCTCAGTCGGTGTAGTTTATCCTGCTCCAGACCACTGCAAAATCTTTGTTCGCCTAACGTGTAGAAAATTTTCTGAAACCTAGTTTGCTTATTTATTTTCCATGCAGATGGTAGTTTACTTCATTTTCAGTTATCAAGAACTACGTAGGCCGTAGCAGAAGTTGTTAAAGCCCGCGACGTAACGGCGCTTCACGCGGAACTTGGCAATGGCGTCACCAGCCACGTTGTCTGTTTGCACGTACTCTCGCTCACTGCTATTGTCTTGTCTCGGCAAGCGCTTTTTGTTGGGCATCGTGAAAGAGTAGTTTACTATTACGAGCAATATCATTTTGCTGTTTTGGCGTTCTTTCGAGCACGAGCCTCTACGAGGTCTTCAATACTAATGATGTGTGGAACTTAGCTGTGGACGACCCTGTACAAGAGTCCAGCGAATTTTTTTGAGCCACGAGCGACACTTTTTGTTACTCTTCAGATGAAACACTAACTTCTGGCTTCCTTAATGTTCATGAAAGTGGCGCGAAATGGGTAGTTTTAGGTAAATATAACATTTACATCGGATACGTATGAAATGGGTGCATAAGTTAACTTAAGGACCAAATAACTGCTAGAATGGAGAATGACAGCTGAAGGAGTTAACTGAGATAGCACACGCTTTTCTTGTAAGCAGCTGGGACCGTTTCGAAGCAGGTCTGTACGTCGCCTCCGAAATCAGAAGCCTCGACCAACTGGCATAAGCAAAAAAAAAAAAACGAACAAAACCTTTGCGTATCTGATTGGAATATGTGTTGTACGTTCAAAGAGCGGAAGGCATACCTCTCCCAGCTTCTGAGATGTTTGCATCATTCTCATGCTGGGCCTGGGCAGCATTCAGCGTCTGGTTGTGCAAGGCTTCTATTCTGCATCACACACAGAGAGAGTCGGCTGTAATTTCAATGACATACAGTCGTCATGCAAAACCATGCGTGAGTGAGTGCTTAAGTGGATGCGTATAAAAACAGTAGCCTGACAGCTTATTGCGATACTAGCTGTTGAGCAGGTAAGCTGTTGCAATGCTAAGATGGAGGATGCTGGTTTGATTCCCCAGCAAGACCGGCGCATTTTGAGGGACGCGAAGTGCAATAATACCCGTGCATCTCAAATTGCCGGTGCACGCTGAGATTTTGAACTTCTCCATTACTCTCTGCCTTTATTCATCTCCCGGTTTTTGGTACGTGAAACCACTGATACAGATTTATATGCGGTTATGCTACCTAGGGGAACACGCGGGAGTTATTATTGCAAATAAGTTGGATAAGTATTTCACTATGATGAAGATTATTAGAAAATACCCGTGGTTTACAATGACACAATTTTTTTTCTGTGCCACACGTCACATGTCGGGCCTAATAAACACAATACGACCACGTAGCTTAGCACGCGTAGAAGTAGAATATGCATTTGTAGTTGTATCATTACTCAGGTGCATGGTGCGTTGTCATGTGATCTTCATGAACTCAATTTTTATTGACTTTCTTGCTCTGTGCGATCGCTATAGTTCAATGCTACCAGCGAATGATTGAGTGACCAAGTAAATGAACAACCAACCAACCAACCAACCAATCAATCAATCAATCAATAAATAGATAAATTTATCAATCAATTGATCGATCAATTGATTGTTCGATCAATTAATCTGTGTTTAGTTTATTGCTACATGAATACCGCAAGCGTGTATTGACTGCTGCTTATTGTTGATGCCTATGTAGCTGCATAATACACCGAAAGTTAATGGGCCTATTAACAACGAATCATTCAACAAAATAACCAGTCAAACGTGCAATTCTCGGTACCATATGCACGCGCTACATTTCAGGTGACGACGTTTCTGCTACCAAAGTGCCGGGACTCTCTTACAATAGGGGAAGGGAGCACCATCCTGTTCTGATGTAGGGGCAGGGCAGGCAGACGGGGTCGAGTGTCATTTTAGGCTCTGTGTTATATCACTAAAGAAAAAAGGCCACCCTACAATTATCTTTTTCGTGACGCATGCATACCTTTGCGCCAAAACTTCGGCGCTGACGGGGCTCTTTTTCTTGGCTTCTTCGTAAATGAAGGGCGTCTTGGGCTCGGACACCTTCATCAGGCCGTAGTCCTTGTCTCGCGGATGTAAAGTGCGCTTGACGCTTTCCTCGTTCCACTTGACGGACACGTTTGACGACACCGGAGAAGTCCTGAAAAATTGTAAGGTGAAAAGCTTAGATGTCTCATACAATTGGCACACTGACAGTCGACGCGAAGTGAAGACGTGCGAAAAGTCTCCTTCGCCTAATCAAGGCGCTATGTGCGTCATTATGGCGTCATTATGACGTCAAAATGTGAGATGGTTACTTGGTTAAAGGTGGACTGACTACAGAGGCACTGCGAAAACACATCGGATGCAGAAATTTCCGTGAGGGGGTGTCAAAACATTTCACCCCCCCCCCAAAAAAAAAAAAAGCTTCGGTTCGTCAGCTCGTTTTTGGTGCTTCAAAGTTGTATCTTATGGATTTCAGGTGATCAGAGACAAGTTAATTCTCTGATATGTGGGATTTCACGTGCCGAAACGACCATATCATTATGAGAGACGCCGTAGTGAAGGACTCCTGAAATTTCGATCACCTGGGGTTTGCACCCAAATTTGAGCACACGGAACAATATTTTTATAGTCAAGTTCGTGAGGGACCATATGTGGCGTTCTGTCTTCGAAGAAAAGCACATCCAGGAACCGAAACTGAGCTAAAATTTACGTGATTGCTAGGCACTGACTTCGGTTACGGGGCCCGTCTACGCAGTCTTGTCCAACAAGTTAGGGGACTTCTACACTCTAAGCCGAAATTTGGCAAAGTTGGACTAACTGCAGTCGTTAAACCAACTGACGAACGGTTCGTCCAACAGGGACGAAATGCGTGGCAGTGCGTGTCGTGCGCAATCGCCCGGCAATGAAGAGACCAACGGGGAGGGCAACTGTGCCGCGATCGCCTCAGGTCGATGCTGCACTGCAATGCTCGGCGTGGTCGGCGATCATGAAAACAAGATATATAGGCTATACGCCACTGTGAAAGCGAAGCAATATGAATCGAATAGAGGATGTTATGAGAGGCAAATGGTACAACACGCTGTCAGTGCACACAACAAGCGCCCTCGCGTTTTCACCATGCCGGCACGGGCGGGCCGAAACCAAGTGAAAATTGCCGAACATGGGCAATGCGGATAACTCGCTTCAACGTGCTAAATTATTTCGAACTACGATGAACACTGACAACGCTAGTGAAAGTAAGCTATTCAACAGCGGTCGTGTACCCACACAGTGACCACAACTTCAAAGCGATATATAGAAAAAGTAGGCTTCGTACGTCATCGGTATCAAGCTGGTTGCCGGTGTGAGTGCATTGCCGGCACAAGCGAAGGAAACGTCGCGTACAAATTCACAGAAAATGTAGCTCAGACAAACTTATGTCTTTTTCTCCATGCGACAATCGTTATCAGAAATCTAGCGTGTAGGCGATAGCGGATACGATTAATCATGCGGCCGGTGGTACACAGGGAGCGACTTACCAGCACGATGAAAGAACCGTGCCTGCGAACGGTCTCCTCGCTCTAAGTATACAGATATCTACATCACCCGGTAAGACACCGCGAACATGGGACACTTACCTCTTGTTCATTTGGGACAATAAAATACCGACGACGAAAATTCCACGCGAGCCGCATGTTGCGATCGCCGGTGGTCGTTTAGCCGTACTCGTCGTAAGCCTAACGACGCCGTCGGCAAGTCGACACGGTATGGCATCGGCGGGGCTCCTGGCTGCTTCGCCGGCTTTCCCGCATATGCGCCGCTGCTATGTTTATGTTTGCGGACTCGCGCGCCAGCACTGCGAACGCTGGTTCGGCCGACATGATCGAATGCCAGCTGATAACTCGTATTCTCGGGCTGGAGGCATGTTGAAGATTAGATGGATCCATATTAAAAGATCGGTGCGCATCGGTACTACGAATTAGCCTATGTAAATTTTCGCGTTACGGTATCAATGTTTATTGTTTTTTTAAGCCGAGTAAAAGTCGCCCACTGGCACTGAATGGGAGGTCAAAATACTGTGCTATATATACCCGATAGTCTGTTCTCGTAGTATAGCACGGGCAGTCAGTGTTTGCGGTGTTTAAAGTTGAAATAATAGTGCGTATGTATATATATATATATATATATATATATATATATATATATATATATATATGTGTGTGTGCGTAGCATGAATAACAAGCTATGTTCCTCAGTGCTGATTAAATTGGAATAAACATAAAATATACTCCACAAACGCAGTGTCGCCATTTTTTTGCCATTGGTGCAGACGGTTCAACTGTTAGTCCCACAACATTTAAACCAAGTGGAGTAAGTGCTTGGGGTAACAGTTGAACCCTTGCAGTTACTCCCGCAGTTAGTCCAAAATTGGTTCAAAATCTGTGGCAGCGCATTTAAACCCCTGAAGGACCAATGGCATACCCCACTTTAGTCCTTTTCGGCTTAGAGCGTACAGCGGTTTTTGACTCTTCCGCAGCCACGCGTGCACGGTACGAAAATAACGAGACCCAGTGTGGTCGCTGATGTCTAAAGATTATCGACAGTCATTAAGAGCTGTGGACGTTGTTGCAGCCTGAAAAAACAATAAAAATGCAGGCCAGTTTTTCATTTTGCCACGTCCACTCCCCACCACCCACATTACGATTCTCCTAGATAACGAGCGTCGCCCGTCCGAAGTTATGAATTATGAATAACGGGGGAACAGCTGTGTGAAGCCTTGTCCAGTCCAGTTTTGTTCCTTGTATGCATGTTTCCACGTGCACCCATCTTCGTTTATACCCCTATCAACTAGCTCGAATTTCAGTCATTCGAAGTGTAAGTTAGCATGTACGTTGCAGGCGGTGCTAATGCGGTCAGTATAAGTGCCTATTTACGCGTTATCTGCCCAGCCGCACAGCACGTGCCTGGACTCTTGCCGCACGCAAGGTGATGGCAGTATATTGGGGTTTTAGGCCCGTTACACGCGCTTCCCGCACAGCCGCAACGCACGTGCCGGGACCCCTACCGCACGCAAGTGGGGACAAATAAGCCAATTGGCGACGCTGTGGAGGGTGAAAGAGCCTCGCCAATTGGATTATTTCTCCCCCGCTTGCGTGCGGTAGGGGTCCTGGCAAGTGTGTTGCGGCTGCGCGGGAAGAGCGTGCACCGGCCATTGGGTGGCAGTGGTTAGAAGGCGCCTGATTTGTGCGGCCCAGTAGGGAGCACAGCGCAGTGTCTACGCAAGGGGAGTGCGGAAGAGCGTATCGGCGATGCCCTTTCGTCTCCACTTGCGTGCGGTAGGTGTCCCGCCACGTGCGGTGCGGCTGTGTGGATAGTAGTGTCCCCAACATTGAGGGTCAATCATGGGGTCATCGTAGCCGCTTGGCTGCGCGTCTGCGGCCACAGCGGCAATGGACGCTAGCGCGCCCGCTGGCGAGAGCGTAAAAAGAAAGCTGCGGCTGCATTGCCTCGATGGGGCAGTCGCTGCGCGCTTTGAGTTGTAGGGGGGAGAGGGGGAGGACCTATTCATTTGCAGCATAATATAAAGCTGCACAGCTTGACATGAGGGAAGCTCAGACCAGGGCTCCCCTGCAGCTGCCGCTTTGCGAGCCCGGTCACTCAGTTGGACTCAGCTGATCACACAGACTCTCGCTATAATCAACCGCTCGTGCTAACGCTCCATAGTAGAACGTTCTCCGAAGCAATTGCATTTCAAAAAACGGGACGTTACTTGAAGCAACATCGAATAGAGATAAAGAAATATTTGCTTGGTCAGTGTGATTCGAACTGAGGTCGGACAGCAACAACGCGTCATAAATAGCGCAACGAGATCTCGTAGCGCTGTGGGCGCTACGAGATCACAACGGTGAGGCCGTATAAGAAACACCGCAGAAACCAACATATTTTCTTTCAATGCCATAAATTGCAACTCCTTTGGTGAAGTAATGTCGTAGTAGATGCATTAATATTTTTTAAAAAGTCTCAGCTTTGCCATAACGGTGAAGCAATGAACGCGACAGCAACAAATTGGGAAGTCATGCGCAGATGGCAAACAGATCGAAACGTGTCCCGCGTTTCTCACGCACAAACTACGCACAAAAGGTACTCACAGGTTCAGATGAACACGAATAAGCGTCTCAGCTGTTACTTGCTGTGTCTGAAAAGCGCACCCTTTTCGTAAACGGAAGCTGTGCAACGATCGCAGTGACATTTGTGCGCCCCACAACTACAACAGAATGGTTCCAGTGCAAGCCTAACTACAGCGGAGACGTATGACCCTCCCCACTTGGAGATAAAGGCGCGCGAGAGATGGCCCACTCCCCTCCTCTCCACGGGTCAAAGTACGCGTGAGGGGTTAGAGCCGCCGCGCACTCATTGCGCCATCTTGCTGATAATGCTGAAAACACGTCAATCTTCCCCCACACCCTCCCATGAGATGCCCGCCAACAGCGGCAAGTGGTAGATATAAATAGCTTGCAGTTTAAACAGTGAAGCAGGCACCCCTTGGTAGCTTAGAGGTTAACGCCTCGCATTTACGGCGCAGAGGCCCCACGTTTGATTCTGCGCACAGTGGTCTTATTTCTGGATTCTTTTTTTTCGCTCTTGCGTTTCCATATACATAGATACGTATACATATACGGTGCATGACAACGACACCAACACCGGCGGCAAAATCCAGCCGGGAGTGTCCATATATATGCTAACGCAAGAAAATACAATGAACTGTGGACCAAACAGGATATCATCAGAGGACCTTCAGCACCACCATGTATTAAACACCGCACAAAGCCACTACACCGCCTTAGCCGCCAACCACCACAAGTTTCACGGTAGCCGGCTCCCTCACATTTACGATTACACTGCAGAGACGGGCCCCTCACTTTTACGGTATTACTGGGCTAGCGGGCGCCCTTGACCGCAGTTGCTCCTTCATGGTGATGGGGCCCGTGAGTATAGTAGCATTATTATGACGGGCTTTCTTACTAATCTCAATCCCCCCCCCCCCCAAAAAAAAAAAAACCGATCCGTTTGCTGGAAACAGGTCTAAAAACAAAGATGGCTACACTTAACAGGGTCAACGTGGTACTTTCGCTATAGCACTCCCGTGTTGGATCACGTTGCTTCGTCGAAAATGAAAGGGCACTGGCCGCGGACCACTTCATTCTCATCAACATAAACGATTTCACTGGCAAAACAGGGGAAATAGTTGCACTGTCCTTACAAAATGTGATCCTCTTCGACGAACCACATCAGATTTACTTCAAGTTGAAAAACCTGCCCAGCGAGCACGCGGTTGAAGAAGGCAATGGCTGTTGCTGTAGCGGCCCTATTCGAGAGGTGCAAGCATCTGTGCGCTACGTTAGTTGCTGCATTTCTGCAGGCAATTACGGCCTTAACAGTTTTTGAGATAACTCTGCAGTGTGACTCGTGTTGCTGATGGCACGTGCCTCATTGAGTTCCGTTGTCCCTTCAAGAGGTCAATACGCATGCCGTTCACTTGACTACAAAATAAAGATATGCAGGGGTCATTGTATCTTGAGATAAGGCAAATCGTAGTTTCGATTGCAGTACTGGGAGTGCCTCTTTATTTCCTTTCGCTGATTCATTTAGTTGGGTTTTTAATAAATGAGGTCGTGCGCTTGAGAACACTCGCTTGTTCGAGAGGGCACTACTTTATGCTCAAAGCAGACAAATGCACCTATACTACACACGCTACGCACGCGCGTAGGAGGTCGTTGAACCCCACCCCGCTTTCCGAAATAAATGTCAGCTGTATGGCCTATTTATAAATATAAGAAACTCATAAGTAATCAAAGTAGACTAATTTTAACTAACCATATATGGTTTCCGCAAATCAGCATTCACTTATTCAGTGGAATGATGATAAATTCATGACTCGGAAACAAGCCTGTTCCAGCATAACTTGTGCTGCAACGTGTCGGAAAGGAACCAAGGAATGCGCTCATGAGTCGAATGCTTCGAAAGCTGGACCAATCGCCTTTTGCAGTTCCTCACAAATTTCTTGCGAGCTCACGAACCTAACTTGTCAATGCACCTAATTCGGTGAGGACGCCGCACCGTCTGTATACACCACAGAGCAAACGCAGACATTAACACCGCGCGCTTGCCCATAAAAAATTTATCTCATGTTTCACGACTACAGTTCTCGCAAAAGCGTACGTCAGTGACGGGGACGTAGCGAGAAACTTTTTTTCGTTGAGGCACGCCATGCCTTGTGTATATTCGCCCGTGCGTATGAGCCCTTGTATATGTGCACATGTGAAATAAATTTTCGGAGCGAAGGACTAGAGCAGCTAAATTTAGAATGGGTATCACTAAGACTTGAGTAAAAGTGAAGCATCCGCAAAATATACACACCCACATAACGCAACGAATTTCGAATTCTGAAACGAAACTATAGGACGCGCTTAGAGATGCCCGAATATTGCCAAAAATAAACACACGCATAATAATGTTGTACTCACGGGGAACAATAAAGTAATTGATTAGAGCAAACCACTATAGTGGACATCACCCCCTCCCTATGAGTAAGCTTCTTATCTTCATCTTTTAAGGTAAAACGCTCCTTAGGGCGTGGGTCTGTTCATCCTCCGATGGTGTATGTAGCCACCGGTGACACATACCCGAAAGAGCGGTCCTTAGAATGTCCGCTGGATGGTGGCAATTGCATATGATGAATACATGATGAAAATATGTGAGACGGCTGTGTTCACTAGATAGACGGAAGGACTGACGGACGCACAGACAGAGGGGTGGACGCATGGACAGACGGAAGAACGGACGTACGGACGGACGCATGAAATGACGCATGTACGGACGTATGCACCGACGGTCACATGGATAGACGGACACACGGACGGACGCGTGGACGGATGGAAGCAAGAATGAATGGGTGGACGAAAGGACGGACGGACTAACCAACGCTTCGCCCTACCAGTCACTTTCACTCCATGGATATGCTGTGATTTTTTTTATCTTTTGTCGTGCGTACTCTGCATCTTTCGAAAAGCGCAAGGGGAGTGATAGAACCATACGTCGCCATCTTTCCACACCGACGCCAACGTAGCGCCACACAGCAATGGTTTTTAGATGTCGCTTTCTTCTTTTTTGGGCCCGCGCATGCAGCATGGGTAAAATGAAGAAGGAACTATGTGGCCACTTCTCAATGCGCACAACGTGTTGAAAAACCTCCTTTCAAGGTTTTGGACCCTATTTAGCGCCGTTTCGAGGCACGACTGCTAGGTTGCGAGGGCTGAGTTGGAATCGCACATTGCGATCACGCTACGATGACGGGCTGCTCACTTTAACGATTGTACTGCGGTCACGACACCCGTAACTGTAGTCAGGGCTGGAGTGCAAGTATCCTTCACTTTCGAAACAATTCTCATCCAAATGGGGGAACCCCTTATCGTAAATCAAACCTACAGCTTCGGGTATGAAATCAGCTAGACCTTGCATCTGTTAACATTAAACACAGCTATATCTATTAGTCAAGCGCTGCGTGAACAATCGCGACAAAGACAACAAGCATGTAGGCGATCAATGTTTCCTATTAAATTAGAAGCATTTCTTGGCGGATGATAGGCATTTACAAGATTTCTATCTATCTATCTATCTATCTATCTATCTATCTATCTATCTATCTATCTATTATCTATCTATCTATCTATCTATCTATCTATCTATCTATCTATTCTATCTATCTATCTATCTATCTATCTATCGATCGATCGATCGATCGATCGATCTATATATCTATCTATCTATCTATCTATCGATCGATCGATCAATCTATATATCTATCTATCTATCCTCCGTCGCTTTATAGGATACAATGTAGTATATTTGTACATTTAAACGCGAGATCGGCCGTGAACGCCAGTTGTTACCAATACGGCGAGTGTAGAACACTGTTTGTTTTGTCTGCAAAGAGTTATTAAATAATAATTTTGGTTCACCCCAAGGTAAAGGGATGATTATGAGAGCATCCAAGCGTAGGTGGCTACAAATAGATAGATAGATAGATAGATAGATAGATAGATAGATAGATAGATAGATAGATAGATAGATAGATAGATAGACAGATAGATAGATAGATAGATAGAAAGATAGATAGACAGATAGATAGATAGATAGATAGATAGATAGATAGATAGATAGATAGATAGATAGATAGATAGATAGATAGATAGATAGATAGATAGATAGATAGATAGATAGATAGATAGATAGATAGATAGATAGATAGATAGATAGATAGATAGATAGATAGATAGATATTCAGAAGTAGCATAGCCAGAAACTTTTTCAGAATGGGTGGGCGGGGTACAACTATACTTTTTGCGTGGATGCGTGCGTGCATGTGTGTTCGTGCGTGACTAAGCGGCCACCCGGTCAAAGGAAAAGCTTCTGAGAAGCTCGAAGACCCCCCTCTCCCACCCTCCCTCGGCTGCGCCAGTAGATTCCATTTAGTGCGAACCCGATGCCCCCATCGGGTGTAGCACCGACTCACTGCTTGCTGCCGCCCTTGGGGGATCGGAGGATGCTCCTTGCATTGGTGGACGAGTCGGACTTCCTCAGGCCCGGTCGCCCAGTGGACGGGTGGTCCTTGGATATTTCGGTCGAGCTGCTCGCCATGGCCACCACCAGAACAGGGCCTCGTCTTCTTCGCGCGCTCTGTGCACTGATGATGTCTGGTTGATTCATTCCAGCTGGTATTTGTGGTTCAACCCACTACGTGGGGAACCGTGGCGGTGGAGGGATGAACTGATGGTATCAAATGACCCTAATGGCATCAAAGTGAAGCCATAATCCGTGATAAGGAGGGGCGGGGGTGCTGGACTCAATAGGGAAGCGAAGAAAAGGCTTCCGTTGAGCGCTTGAGCTGCCTATTCAGAAGCCACGGAAGCCTTTGGGAGGGCATTGCATGCTGATGATAGGTCCGCTGATGTCTTTTTCTGGTATTTTAGTCTCTCATCATGTTACACTACGATGAAATGCAGTCTTTTGAGGCCTCGTCGTTGCCATCGGTCTAGTGTGATCATAAGACCTGGCGACTTCGTCGGCGGACGACTCGTCAGCCGATGGTTTGCGTCTGCCTCATGTTTTCGGTGGGGTCATGTCAGTGTCGTGTCTCTTTTGTGTAAACGCGCGTTTACCAGTACCAAAAAAGGTGGACCAAATTTAGATAACTTGCCGCTGGTGGGCAAGTGCAATGAGCTGCAAGTGGCGCCCACGGAGCGTGCTAACAAAACATACTAACTTGAGCTAATCGTGCTAACAGTATAAAAATGTGTAATCAAACCGTGCTAACGTGAGCAATGTGAGCTGGAACACCAAACTTTTTATTTCTGGTTCTTGCTCCACAAGACACTTTTTAAAGTAAATTGTTCCAGTTCACAACAGACGAGAAAATTTCAGAACCATACCTTCATGCATAAAAAAACCAAAGATGCCGGCGACAGCAAGAGTACGGTTTCCAAGCGCACGCAAAAAACAATAATGGTGCATATTCCATGAAACCATTTGGGGTTACCAGTTCACTGAATGTTTGGTCGTGTTAAGGTGCAAGAAGCTGGCGCACCAACACGAAGTCATAAATGATAATATTCTAATCTGTGGCAGTGTTACTAGCAATATACACGTCGTTTCAAAAATCGTCCCCAAGGTACCCCACGTAGCAAAGGAAAGTTGTAGGAAACAGCAACAAAGCTTGAAATACTCCCGCTGCATACACGAGAAGCATTCGTCGGCTCCGAGTTGTCACTCTTTATTCGCACTGTCAATAAAAGCCCTCTTTTAGGATCATTCGGGAAAAAGAACACCTTGCAGATCCATTCCCAGAATGGTCCGTGCCCTGTGGCGCGCAGCATGTGCCCTGCAGATGCAGTACCGTGTTGTGGGACTCGCTACGAATCAGAATGGCGGCAAGGTGGCAGGCATCGCGTGCACGGGGAAATGAAGCGCGGTGTGGGCAAACACATGGTGGACATGCGCGGTGAGGCAACGCAGACCCTTTCAATCCATTACCGCCCTCTAAGCGGCAGCGCGCGCATTGAGACACCCTAATTGTACGAATAGTTTCGTACAGGCATTGGATAATGTTTAGAATATCACATGTTTCTGAACGCCACTGCCGATGCGATTGGCAATCGCTGCGATGGGATTGGCGGTGCGAGGTCATGTAGTGTGTCACGTGAGCTCGTACCGCCCTATTCTTTCCAAGCGCCTTGGAAAGAATAATATACCTATTATTCTTTCCAAATAATAATATACCTCATAAACAATAATATACCTCATAAATTCTGTGATTGCTAACCAGTACGCGGTGTGTGGTTCCACAGCAGGGGTATATATGGTCATCAAGCTGCTGCTACAGTATAATTCTGCTATGCCGAAGTCTTTAAGATTTACTTGGGCATATGTTCTCATGATCAACTCATATGAGTTCATATAATCATGTGAATAGAAAAATAATATGCTCATATGAACTCATACGTTATATGAGTCCATATGAGCATATGAGATTCAAATGATCATAGGCATGTGAATCTGATTTGATCTTATGATCATGTCGTCAATTATCTAAAAGTATGTTGCTGAGATGCGCGCTTACACCAGTATAGTCACATAACGTAATTAAAAGCAATTAATAATTTATGAGGGCCATGTCAATTCGTTTTTTATCCTATACCTTTGTAATGGAATTATATTGATGTTGCCACGAACACGGACATTTAACAAAATAGGCGTAAACCTCAACATGCGGGGGTTACTAACAATTTAGTAATGAACTAACCACTCGAGTCCGCACTATTCACTTGCTTACTAGGCAGCAACTTCTACTACCCAACGACGTAGTGGTTTTACCAGCCTGTCAGTATTTGGGCTGGTGTTTGTTACGAGCCCAATGAGCCTTTCACTAAGGTTACTTTTACCAGCTGCATTTACTAGCTGGCTAGTGGATTCTGTGGCAAGTAACAGGCTAGTACTTAGTGAGTATACCAACCTTTTTTTCTAACAGTGTAGTACACTGTAGCAGTACCACTTACGCTATAGCAGTATTTGGTCCCTTTCCTAACGCGCCATGCTGAAGCGAGGAATTGCACCTCAACAGCAAGCAACCGAACGTTGTCTGTGAATGTGATTTATTTTTGCATTCCGTGCTACAAAAACATCGAAGGACGACGTTTTACGTAACGCACGGAACTCGTCGCAAAGAATTCGCGCATTCAAAGAACACTCGTTTCTGCAGTAACCTACGCGCAGTTCGCTAGTACAGCTCTCATGTGAAAGGATATTTCACCTTCTCCCTTCCCTATGCTCAACAATCCGAAACAGCCCAATTGCTTCATGAACAATTGCTTGGATCCTTGTATCGCTGGAGCATATGTTTCCAATAAACTTCTAACGCATAAAAATAAATTGAAAGTACTGTTACGGATGTGATGGGTTTATTTACACTGAAAATGCCAGCGCTCAACCGTCACTGCCGAATGACCATCGCACGAGAGCGTCCTACCTCCTCTTCTTTCTCGCTCTTTCAGTGCGCGTTACATTTTCCTCCGGGCAAGACGAAACTCACCGAGCCAGTAGAAGCGATCGTTTGTTGTAGGGCTTTAATCGGGCAATGTGCTAAATTTGTGGCTAACGCGAACGCCGGTCCTGAGCTGTCACTTTCGCGACAACTTAGGTGACGACACTCAAGCACTGAATAAAGACGAGTGGTCCTGAGTATTTGGAAAGAAGCTTCTGGCAAAGTCCCTTCTTTCGAACGGGCGTCCACAGCCAGACGAAATCACCCTTAGCTAAAGTCACATGTGGGTGTTTTGCGTCCTAACGGTCTTTCGCACGGGCGTGCGCAGAAAAAGTTCGGAGCCGAGCAAGTCGACGAGCTTCTTCGGCGTGACACAAAGTCTGCGCAACACTGGCGTTTTTGTTCGTCAAAAAAGAAAGTATGATGTCAAGTAAACTTTAAAGATGACGAGTATAGAGGAGAAAGAAAGGCGTATAACCTGCGACCTCGTGTTTCGCGGTCCCCGCAGGGGCGTCTGCGTAAGCAGGCGTTTGGTGTGTAGCGACACTACGGAGCCGAGCTAACGGGGGAGTTTCGACTCCCTCCCACGCTTAGCCGTGCGTGGCTGAGCCGTGTCCGGGGAAAAAGGGGATCCTGAGCCAATGCTGGGTGATTTGGACCTTTAAGGCCCCCCAGCGGTGGCAACACATCCCCTTTGGCCCCGGCTTCACGTGGATGGCACCCCTGGGCTGACCCACCCCGCGGAATCTGGCAGTCGTCTTTTCCTGTCTCTCCCTCTCTTCATCTTCGTCTTTCCTCGCTCACTTTCAATCTTTCCTGTTCTCTCCTCTCTTCAATTTACTTCTGTTTTTCCTGGCAGCAAGGGTTAACCTTGTGTGGCTTTCGAAACTAGGGTAAACCATATTGGGTTATAGTAACTGCGTACTGCTGGCGTTGCGCAGACATGTCCACGGGCTCTGCCACGTCCCCTTGGTGGACTCCGTGGTGGGTGGTAGGCGTCGTTACCGAAAAATCCACATTTTCCCATGGGATTCCTCGACCCCCTCTTCTAACTGATCGTGCCTCGAAAAGGGTACGCACCGACGCAACTTCACTACTTTGGCCCAAAAACAGAGAAACTTTCGCAAAATACCATGTCCTCCACTGCGAACAATCATCTACAAAAGCTAGAGCAATCTCACCCTTCCTTGTGGCCAAGTGCTTGAGAGAGACCATTGTAACCGGTTATAAGGCCACGAAGATGGCAAGTGGAGATTCGCTTCTCGAATTAAAAGACAAGGAACAGTACAATAAACTCTCGCACCTTGTAGCTTTGGTAACATCACCGTCCCTGTGAGCGCGCACCGTACCATGAATACAGTGGAGGGCGTGGTATCGGACGAAGATTTGATCACACTGAGTGAAGAAGAGCTCCTTGATGAATGGAAGGATCAAGGTGTATTAGATGTCCAGCGCATCAAAATCCGACGTAACAACAATGAAATAGCTACAAAGCACTTGATACTCACCTTCAGCTCAACCACTTTACCTGAGACTCTCGAAACTGGCTAAATAAAACTCCATGTCCGAAACTTCATTCCAAACCCGAGGCGTTGTTTCAAATTCCAGCGAATTGGTCATGCATCCCAGAGCTGCCGAGGGCAGCTGATGTGTGTGTGGCACAACCGGCCACAGTGCTGATGAATGTAGACATGACGAGGTCCTCTGTGCAAACTGCGAAGGTAGTCACCCCGCATACTCCAGAGCGTGCCTAGCCTGGAAAAAAGAAATAATAAATATAAACGTTAAGGAAAATATCACATTGAGGGAAGGAACACAACGGATCTCGTCATCACTGGCACTAAAAACACCTTTCGCCGAAGTGGTGCAACGAGGGGCGGCACCACAAAGGCCCTTGGCAGTTGCCCGGACCGCGCCTAGCGTGTCGAGGCCAACGCCACAAGCCCCTACGGCGGAAGCAGCCGGCACTGCCCTGCCCACATTCAGCCTTTCCACACCAGTGACCTCTACAAGCTCTGGCAGCAGCCAGGGCGATCATGAGGCCAAGGGGGCCTCATCGACCTCCAGCTCGGTGGGGACAAAGACTTCGTCGATCAAAGCG